AATAAAAATGACAATAATAATAATAGCTACTTTGTACTAAATGCCCACTAACTGCCGGGCACTTGACATGCATATTTCATTTAATCCTTTCCACAGTCTGGAGCAGTGGGTCTTAGTATTCCTATTTTACAGATGTCGGGAAACGGAGGCCTCTGTTGAGTAACTTGGTTACTTGCTGCTCATATTTGCTAAGGAGTCTGGTGGTTAATTTTATGTGTCAACTTGACTGGGCTAAGATACCCAGATAGCTGGTAAAACATTATTTCTGGCAGTGTCTATAAGGATATTTCAGGAGGAGATTAATCTTTGAATTGATAGACTAAGATCATCATCTGCACCAATGCGGGTAGGCATGATCAATCCTTGGAGGGTCTGAATAAAACAAAGAAGTGGAGGAAGGGTGAATTTGCACGCTCTTCACCTGGGACAGCCATCTTCTCCTGTCCTCAGACATTAGTGCTCCTGGTTCTTGGACCTTCAGACTCCAGATCTCACACCAGTGCCCCCCCAACCCACCTCCCTGAATCAGGTTCTCCATCCTTAAATAGGACTGGGAGTTATACTGCAGGCTCCTCTGTTTCTAAGACTTCTGACTCAGATGGAATTAAACCACAAGCTTTCCTGATTTTCCAGCTTGCAGGTGTCAGATTGCAGGACTTCATCAGCCCCCATGATTGCATGAGCCAATTTTCATAGTAAATGAGAAAGCCAATTCCTGATTGTTTTTGTGTCTCTGGAAAGCCCTGGCTTGTACAGGGTCTAATACGACATTTGCTCAATGTGACATTTGCAAGTAGGATTAGGGTACCCAGCAAATCTGGGTCTTGCAGCCCCATCCTGATCACCAGCTCCTATCCACAGGCCAGCACGGCAGGCTGTTTCTTGCATTTCTGAAAACTTGGGAAACTCAATGGATTCCACCCATTTCACTGCAAAAATTACACTCAGCCCCATTGTTTCCAGTTACTCCCTCCAACTTTCACATACCCTGGAACCTGTCTTTTGGAAGGTGATGGAAACATTTGTAACTCCATATGATGAGAATTCTAACTCCCTCAACTCAAATATAGTATTAACTGAATCCCACAAGTTTTGCTGTGTAACTCAAAGAGCAGTGACAATCTGAGCCCATTGCATGCTGGATCTGTAAGTCGGGAGCATCGCTGCTGAACAGGAAAGCAAGTTTGACAACCTGCTTGTCACTTCTCCAGAAATAGTGATGTTCCCCTGACTTCTTGATATTTTAAACTCTGACCTTAAATAGTTCTTTCTTTCAGGTTTACACCTGAGAGCTCACACTGTCAGGTGGCTCACACCTGTAATCCCAGAACTTTGGGAGGCTGAGGCAAAAGGATCGCTTGAAATCAGGAATTCAGACCAGCCTGGGCAGCAAAGTGAGACCCCCATTTCTACCAAAAAAAATAGTTGGACACAGTGGTGTGCACTGGTAGTCCCAGCTATTCAGGAGGCTGAGATAAGAAGATCACTTGAACCCAGGAATTCGAGGCTGTGGCGAGCTATGATCACACTACTGCACTTCAGCCTGAGTGACAGAGCAAGACACTGTCAAAAAAAAAAAAAAAAAAAAAAAAAAGGGAAAGACACTGAAAAAAAAAAAAAAAAAAAAAAAAGCCAGGTGCAGTGGCTCACACCTGGAATCCCAGCACTTTGGGAGGCCAAGGCAGGCAGATTGCTTACAGTCAGGAGTTTGAGACCAGCCTGGTCAACATGGCAAAAACCCCTCTCTACCAAAAAAATACAAAAATTAGCCAGGTGTGATGGTGGACACCTATAATCCCAGCTACTCGGGTGGCTGAGACACGAGAATCGCTTGAACCCAGGAGGTGAAGGTTGCACTGAGCTGAGATCACACCACTGAACTCCAGCCTGGGGGACAGAGCAAGACTCTGTCTCAATCAATCAATCAATATTTAAAAAAAAACAAAAAAAAAACGTTGTTAACTTTAGTTATCCTACTCTGCTATCAAACATTAGAACTTTAATCTTCTAACTGCGTGTTTATACTGTAGCTTATATTCTTAATTCATGTTTATTCCTAATATTGGTTACTTGTACCTTCTTTTTTCTTTCTTTATAATCCTCACCAGAATTTTGTTGATTTTGTGAATCTTTTCAAAACATCAACTTTTGGCCTTGCTGTTTTTAATTTCTTTGCTCATCTTTATTTTTTTTTTCCTTTTACTCTTTTTGGGGATTATTTTATTGTTTTATTTCAAATCTTTTGATATGAACACAGCTTATTAATTTTGAACCTTATTTTCTATGAGAAGTATTTAAGGCTACACATTTTTCTCTAAATATAGTATTAACTGCATGCCACAAGTGTTGCTATGTAATAATTTCATCAACTTTTGGTTCTAAATATTTCTAATTGCCATTGTAATTTCTTCTTCCACCAATGTCTTATGGTTGAAGGATTTAATTTTTTTTTTTTTTTTTTTTTTTTTTTTT